ATGGCAACTACGGGCATCGTCCTCGCTGGATGGCCGTGGGCGTGATGTGCGCCGCGGGGTCGGGCTTCGGGGCGGCGCTCCCCCACTTCCTGTACGGGCCGGGGGAGGACGCCCTCGCGCTGGCCAGGGACGCCTCCTCCTCCTCCTCCAGCCTCGAGGGCGACAACCGCACCGAGACGCACGCGGCCGGAGGTGAGGCCTGGCGGGAGGTTGGAGTGAAGGGGGGAGGAGGGAGGGGGAAGAGGAAATAAAGAGGTGGAGGGAGGAAGAGGGAAGGGAATACGACGGTGGAAGAAGGGGGGGGGGGGCAAGGAGGATGCTGTTAGTTGTGTTGTGGTTGTTTTGAGTGCAGAGGGAGGAGGAGAAAGGAGGAAGTTGCAAAGGACGTGGCTTGTGTAGTTTGCGTTACCCTTGAAGGAGAAGCTGTAAGTTTTATGTTGTCACTTTATAGACAAATTTCAAAATAGAATTTGTTTTTCTGTCTTTCTTAGTACGTAAACTTAAAGATAAGACTTGTTTCCGGGTTTCCATTGTTGGTAAATTTAAGAATAGCGTTAATTTTGTGGTTTTGATATAAAATCGTCATACCCACACAAACAAGTAAACAAGTAGAAAAATAAATAAGAACACGCACACAGAAATCGTTATCGAGGGCGATTCACCTGCACGCCCGCGGCCAGAGGTAAGATTCTGTGGCCTTCTTATGAATGATCTTAATAGTGATACGCATTTCCATCTTTACTTTGGTTCGTGTTTTAGTTGTTATTTAGAAAAGACTTACGCGCTCGACTCGTATAGATATATAAATTAATAGATACATACATACATGCATGCATACATACATATATATACATGCATGTATACATACATACATGTTTACATATATGCATGTATATATACATACATGCATGCATGTATACATACATGCATGCATGTATACATACATACATACATACATACGCACATGAATAAAATATATAGATATATATAGAGAGATTAATCTATCAATGTAGATATATAGAGATCATTATTATTACTATTATAGTAAGCTATATAAAGAGCCACACTGAAAAACTCGAGATTTATACCACCAAAGGTGTCAGTGCAGGTCAAGATAAATGTAAGAAAGAATGAAAGATTAGAAAGTCAGCTAATTGCGTAAGAAAAACATGTTCGCTGATCTTTTTAACTTATCAAGAGTCGGAGAAGTTACAATCTCTGAAGGCCGTCTATTCCAAAGTGAACAAATAGCAGTAAAAAAGCATCTGTAAAACTGACTTGTAGACGATCGACTTACAACAAATGTCATTAACTTGAGGGTCATAGAATTTCTGGTAATACTTACAGGTTGATAAAAATCAGGTAAAAACTTATAGAGCGGATGTGAATTATTGGTTTCAATCTTGTATAAGACTGAAAGAGCCGCAATAACTCTACGATGTCCAATGTCCAAATTTAAGACAGGAGAAATTTAATGGAATTAGAAGAACGATCAAGCAGTCTTAAGTGTGAGTCTGCAGCAGATAACCACGCAGGAGAACAGCACTCAAAGTGAGGCAGAATAAAAGAAAAGCATCGAGTAATGTCATCTTCATATATCTTCGTGCACTTGCGAATGATGCCTAACTTTGATGAAATTGCCCGGGCCATATTCCTAATATGCAATTCAAATGTAAGCTTTGAATCAAAGGTTACACCTAAGAGCTTCAGGTTATCCACTGAAGTGATTAAGACTCCATTAATCAGCAAACTTGGATGCTGAGGCAACTGCGTTCGAGACCGACTCACAATCATTTCTTTAGACTGAGTAGGATTTAATTTCATTCCCCACCGAGAGCACCAAGATTGAATCATCATCAGGTCCATAGTGAGACTGTCAGCTGCTATTTGCCTAGTTGCCGGAGAAGGAATATCAGGATAGAGAGAAGTATTATCAGCATATGCCAACCTTTTATTAGTAATGCCAGACCACATACCGCATGTATATACTACACTACCTTGAGGAACCCAAGACTCACGGTAATACGAGCTAAAACTACCATCAACATTAACACGCTGCTGCCTACCAGTTAAAAATTCAGTTGAAATACTTAAAACTTACCACCAACAGACTATAACTTAAAAATTGAACCCTTGTGATTAAAAGTATCAAAAGTTGCACTAAAATCCAGAGAGACGTCTTGACTCATGACCCTTATCTAAAGCAGATTACATTTCATGCACCAACATTAGCAATGTATCATTGCAAGAAAGGTGTCAGTGCAGGTCAAGATAAATGTAAGAAAGAATGAAAGATTAGAAAGTCGAGCCGAGTCCCTTTCTAAAACCAAACTGAGTCTCTGGAAGAAACGGTCTCAAATGTACTGAAAGACGTTTGACCAGCAAACGTTCGAATACCTTGGATAAAATTGGTGTAATTGAAATGGGCCTATATTCAGTAGCTGAAAACTGTAATGGGTCCTTGGGAATAGGGCTGAAAATGACCCTTTACGAGCTAAAAGACGCATGGTTATGGCTACTTTAGAAGCTGATTGGCCAAATCAAAAGAAACAAGCCATTGGGGTCTACTCCACCATATTCATCTAATTCTGATAACAGATACTTGAATTCAGAGGACCTGAAAGCAAATGAATTAAAGCATGGCAATGGTTGACATGAAAGAGGAACTTCGATATCTTTTAAACTTTGTTTTGAAATAAAAAAAAAATAAAAACAATCTACTAACAACATAGCTTTCTCAAATGGACTATATGTAACACTATCATCAGGTTTCATTAAAGGATGAATGGAGAACTCAAGACCAAACAGAGATGCATTAAGTGTTGACCACCATTTATAAGGCTGTGAGGCTTCTGAGAGAACTTTCAAATGAACATTATATTCACATTTAGCTATAGGGGTCGGAAGAACCTATTGGTGCAATGGAGTCTACAATGATTACCACTCACATCTGTTAGAACAAGATCCAAAAGGTTACCACAACTGTGAGTTACACCACGAACTAACTGCTCACACACAACTACATATGCGAAATCTAAGGAAGAAATGCCATGTCGGTCAGTTGGGGATACAGAATTCAGTCACTCTCGGTAGTGAGCATTGAAATCACCTATGAATATAAAATATGATTTACTATCATTCTGTTGAATAGAAATGTAGCAAGTCAACAAACAATTATAAGACTGAAAATGTAGAAATTATTAAAACGACTACACACTGACGACCATGTATTCATGACAACCACATTCATACATTGTAAAACGACTAGCATTAAAACCAATAATATATACTCCAAATATAATTTTGTCATGTATATGGCCCTATTAAAATGTGTAACTATTTTATATTGACATGAAAAATATTTTTGTTTCACAGTAAAACATAGTTTGCTTGAAAATATGCTAAATAAAATATCTAACCTAGCGTAAGGGAAATACTTCGCTCAGCGGAGCACTCAGACTTTTCACAGATACCACTTCGCTGAGCGGAGTGGTGCAGGATGGGATCTGAGTGTAGAGCTCAGTAAAATACTCAGTATTTTGATAAATACCGCCCCAGGATTCAGTTCATCATCACCAGACAACAAAACAACAATTCCACTTAAATAAACCATAAATTTGGGATAGTCTTATTTTATCATCAGAGTTCGCAGGTTTTTTTAGAGTAAATACTAAACACATACATCTGTCTATCTATTCAATGACAGAGCAAGAGCTGTGTTTCTCGCATCCTGAGGAAAATTGCGGCGAGGACGGGGGTGGTGGCGGAGCATACATGGGCGCCATCATACTCTTCTTCTGCTCTCAGTTCTTCGTCGGAATCGCAGTTAGCATATTCTACAGCATCGGCGTCACTTACTTGGACGATAACATCAACAAAAAGGCATATCCGGTATATTGCGGTAAGTTTTTTTTTTCAGTTATCGTAAGGACTAAAATAAACGTTTTCCTCATAATCTGTCATTTTATGGAGCTATAAACAGTTGTAAAAGTGACGATTTTATATTTTCCCATCCGTCAGAATTAGAATTCACAAATAGAGAGACAGAGACAGATCAGAATCAGAGATCAGAATCAGAGAAGAGAGAATAACAAAAAGGCATAACCAGCAAATCCACACACCCGCTAACCGCAGACGTCTCTCCGGCAGCCCTCTCGTTCATGCTGCGGATCCTGGGGCCCGTCCTCGGCTTCTTCGTCGGAGGGAAGTGCCTGTCCACCTGGATCGACCCGAAGGAGGTTCCTGCCCTCACCACGAAGGACCCGCGCTGGCTCGGCGCCTGGTGGATAGCGTGGCGAGGGCGGGGAGGAGGGTCCAAGGACTGGGGGGGGGGGCGTGGCGGGTAGGAGGGGCAAAGACTGGTGCCTTTGTGGATGAAAGTGCTTTGCTTTATCGTCGTCGGTCATTGAAAGACAGCTGATGGGTACTAGTGCCTCTGTGGTGATGGTGTAGTTTTATCGTTATTAGTTATTGGAATCACGGTGACGAGTACTGGGTTTCATTCTACCGATAATGATATAACATTTATGCCTTTATGATGCCTGTGCAATGTCTTGTTATCGATGATTGGAATCATAGGGGGGCAAAACTTATGATTTTATGGTGATGGCTGCCTGTGTGTTCTGTCACTATAGGTAACGTGAATTACGTCCATAGAGTTTCTGTTCGTGATAGAACAAGGGTTCATGAAATCACGAATGTTTTGAATTAGTGGTTATCCCTTTGATGCCTGCTCTTTGCCCATGAACCGCCCTGCTGAACACTGTTCAGAATAGCTGATAACCTCCCCATTCGCTCCCCCAGGCTACCTGTTCATCGGCTCCAGCCTGATCTTCTCGGGTAGCCTCCTGTCCCTCTTCCCCCGCAAGCTGCCGGTGACGCTGCGGCGCGAGGCGAAGCGGGTCCTGCGGCAGACGGAGAAGGACCGCAAGGAGGGCGGCGACCGCGGCCTGCAGTACTTCGCTTCCCTCGCCAAGCAGTCCAAGGAAGCCCAGGAGAGG